GCATAATATGAATATTCTGGAAAACCATTAAGGTGGATACTATCTAATAAAAGGGATTATATGGTCTGAGGTAATGATCTCCAATTATGATCCTTAAGATGCAATTTGAGATTTGAGTCCCCTATTGTCACGCAATTTAAGCCTTTATGATTTTAAGGATTTTGATAACCCCTACCAAGAGCTTCATATTTCAAATATTTGGAAACGAGAATTACAATTTATACTTGATAAATTGGCTAAGTTTTAGTTTATAATGTATAAAATGAAATTTGAGTCTTTCAATTTGAAACATCATAAACAGTAGGTGCACTGAAGCAATTTCACTCGTAGTGAGGAAATGCACTCAAAAGACTCCGATCAATGACACCTCTGCTTAGAAGTTGAAATTTTCACTTGTAGTGAGGGAACGCACTGAAATTTGAGGATAGCTTCTACAATAAGAAAGCTTAATGACCATGTGCTGATAAAGACGGTGATGGTCTGGCCTTGGCAACACAATCATGATACTTAGGGATGGGACTTAACTAAGAAATTTGGCTATAATTTCTTTCCGGTTCTTTACAATTTCCACCCCTTGTCCCTTTCTCTGCCAACAGGGGGATTGTGAAAATAATTATTTGGCAAACATTTTTTAGTGAAGTGATAAACATGTTTGAATATGAGGGCCACATGTTTTAGTTTTCCAGCACAAAAGACGAACACACAACTGGAGCAGGGGGTGTTCTAAAATTGAATTTGCAAGAGTTTGAAAAATATTGTGGTGGACAACTGATGTGGTTTTGGGGAGCCCCTCTATTTCAAATACCAGGCATTGTGATGTTTTTGTTTGGGTTCTGGCAGTACTTCAAACCAGGCCTATCTGTTCTTGTTTATTTTTTATTTTTTTAATTCTTTATTTATGCGGCCATGGTAGTACTTCTATGTCATCTACATATGCATGCAGCTGATTTTCTTTCTAACGCCTATCTACAGAAACTGTTCACTGATTGGTATATTTGCTGCAGAAAAAGATGGGCAAGACACTAAAGATGAATTGCAGAAGAGGAATCTCTGTGATGAGTTGGAGGAGCGGGAACGGAGGCATTTCTCGTCGAAGGATAAGTCCTATATTGGTAAAGAAGTTTTTGACAACCCTTTTTGCTATATGTTTCTTCTGTTACTATTGTTGTTGTTGTTTTGTTGTTGGACAGTATTTTGTAATTGTTTTGTATCAAATTATTTATGGTTGCAGACGATAGAGATCGTAGAAAATGAGGCAACCTTCTATTGGAAGGTGAGTACTACCTTCCATGCTTTGTGTACCAAAAACACTAGCTATGCATACGTAATTATTCAACTGATTTCCTACTTATTTTACAGGGGCAAGGAGAGATGCTGAAGATCGCCTCATTCCACACAGTGTAGATGCCGATGATGCTGATGTGGAACTTAAAAGCGGCGATGGAAGGTTGTCACTCATTGCAAACTTACCTGAATTAATTCATATGTTAACAAAAAGCTTATACCAATGGCCTGATTTGTTGTTTGAATTGCATGGCTCTTCAACTTGTGGTGTGATTGTCGATTTATGCTTGATAGACCTGCTCAATTTTTTTCAAATCAGTTACTATAAAGGATGATGTGTTTTTAAAGTATAATCTTGAAGACAATATGCAAATGTGCATGTGAATATAGTTGATTTTTTTTTTCTTGCTCTGACACTTGATTTTGTTATTACTGATGTGTAATTTTGTTATTACGGAAGTGTCATTATTTTGTGTTTAGTGATGATGACGATGATGAAGATGATGAGGATGACACAGAAGCTCTTTTGCTTGAACTTGAACAGATAAAGAAGGAAAGAGCAGAAGAGAAGCACCGTAATGTAAGTTCTTTTTCGAGATATTTCCAGCTGTCTATTACAAAAATATTTTATGGTGTGTGCTTTATGGACGAAACCCAAAACTTAAAACCACGGCAAATATGTTTTTTATTTTTATTTTTTTAGTAGTAGTAGATACTGAGAGTTTATTATGAATTTGTGGTCTTGTAAGATTATTCATGAGTCCACCATTGGGCTTTGTTCATAACTGGTAAGTCATGACTAGGGCAGTTCTAACCTTCTGAATTCTTGATTTTATATGAACTTGTTAGATCTGAACGCATTGATGAGGCATATTGTGGCTGTACCCTCAAAATTGTTAATATCATGTTGACCACTTTATGGCGTCGCCACTGAGCAAAATTGTTAACAGCAGTATGCCAAATACTTACCAACCATATCATGCCTCGGGATCGACAAAAGCAAGAAGAAGAGCTTAAGGTCAAAGAAGCAGAATTGGTATGAGGAAACCCCCTTCTTAATAATCCAACATCTTTTAATGTGAAAAGGAGGTCGGTTTTGCCTGAAGATCCCAACTTCCCTATGGTTCTTCATTTCTTGAGGCTCGCTTGTGAGTTTGGGTAGGGCAGTGTTCTGATATTATTGTTTTCTTATTTGGCATTTGGTCAGGTGGGATGATGACGTGGTGTTTAAGAACCAGGCTCGTGGTGAGTCCAAGGCTCCCAAACGCTTCATCAATGACACCATCAGGAATGACTTTCACCGGAAATTTCTCCCCAAATACATGAAGTAACTTGGCATCTTTTAAGTCTCATGTTCAGTTGAATCAGATCTAGTAGCGCTCACTATTAAGAAAGAGTTTGATTGTGCAAGTATGAATTAGGTGAAGAAAACGATTTAAGAAATTGAGATTCCATTGTAATATGTTAACATTCCACGAAATTGTTGATAATTGATCGATTGATGTCTGTGTTCTACCTTGTTGCAATGCAACCATTTTTGTTGGTGAATAGTTGTTGTGTGATAAGATTCCATAGCTAAATGTAGTTTCGTTGTGTGAAATTGGAAAATAATTGCTTTATTCTCCCTATTGGGTTTCACCTCTTGGAACATCGTTGGTTAAAAAGTTGGTTTTACCTCTTGCTTTCTTTTTCATTTATTTTTTAATAGATTTTTTTGTAGGATCATGTTGGTTGAGATTAAAAAATAGTAGTTGCTTTTTCAGTTAGACTTATCCTCATCTTTACTTATTTAACATTTTAAAAGATTCACAAGTCAATTGTTGTAAAAAAAAAGTTAAAAAAATAGACTTATTTTTGCTTTTAGTATTTTTTTTTAATTTATAAAATTGTATAGTCAAGATAGATTTAAAAAGTAAATATTTTTTTATATAATTTTTAAAAAAAGTAAACATTTCGATATAATTTTTAAAAAGTAAACCCAAAAAACATACCAACCTTTTTTTATCCAAATTACCAAAAAAAGAAAAAGGGATCAAATAAGCTTTCTACATCAACAAATATATTAAATATATCAAAATGTACAAAATTCTTTTAAGAGCACACAACCAACAACCAAGGGAGTACATGATTGATCTATTACTTTTTACACCAAATAGAAGAAAAAAAAACAAAAACAAAAACAAAAAGACTGTCCTAAAGAGAAAATGCAGCCAACAAAACTTGATAAATGCACTGCCAACAGATTGGTAAAAACACATCCACTCTAAAGCAACAATTTTGATTTTTCTTTTTTGGGTTCTAATTAGCTCAACCAATAATGTAAACGCGTTTTTGAGGCAGCAACAAACATTTCTCAGGAAGCAAGCACTAAAAGCATGCCCAGCAGCGCTCTACGTCTCACTCTCCTTCGGTTCATCCAAAACAAATTCAGCATACAAATCCTTGAGAGCAATGACAACAGTAGTTATCAGTGGTCCCATTATTGCTCCCTGAGCCATAAATTTCAACCAGTGTTAATCACTACATTTAAATCAAATATTTACATGCCAACCAACAAAAATAATTCTTTCATTTGAGATTGTACAAAACCATCTCAAATATCAGATTAATAAACCAGTAAATGAATAGTATTTATGAGCAAATACAAGGAAACCAAACCTAAGTTATATGTTAACTTAAAAATAGTCATGAATACCTTTTAATCTCAACATTTAAATCAAATCTTACATGCTACCCAACTAAAAAAATTCATTCATTATAGATTGTACAAAAACCATTTCAAATATCAGATTAATAAACCAATAAATGAAGAGCATTTATGAGCAAATAGAAGGAAACCAAGGTTATCATTGACGAACAATCAATGGAAACCTTTTAACGGAGATAACAATCAACAATAGTTGGTAATTTTTATTTCATCACAATGAAGATTTAACCGATTGTCCTCTTTTTGTTTCGCCTACCAAGGATTCAACGCCTTTTTATCACGAAGTGTAGAGGTTATTAACTACTAACCAAATAATTCAAGTGCAAACATCTATTCCTAATTTCCTAGATAGAAAATCAGCATATTTGCTAATCAATTATAAATGAGCAAATCACTCACCCATATCTTAACGGATTGATCTATTTTTCTACCTGTATACATTCCCATAATTGTAGTGTTTTTTTCTAGAATCAAACTTCGTTGTTAAACGTCTTGAAGTAGTCATCCTTACAACATTGTTAAAACATCATCAATTTCCTGAGGTTCGAATCCCTCCTTTTCTGTCTCCCTTAATGACTTGATATTTGATTAATCTTTCAAGATTTTCAAATCTCTTTTCCTTTTTCGTAGTTAAATGTGTGAAATAGACAAAAATTGAACAAAATCAAGGAAAATTTCTAGTACTTGTTTTGGAAGGGGAATTCCTAGACTGTTAAGAGGAAGAATAAGAAGTAGCAACTATGATGCATGGATACAAATATGATATGATTCATATGCGGAGATACGTTCAAAAAAATATTTATAACTTTTAGTATTATATCATACATTAGTTCAAAGAATAGTGAGAAACAATTATTTAGGAATTACATATTAGTTTAAGAGCCAATAGTTTTAAGTGGATGATACATTAATTTAATAAAATAAAAAAAAGTAGAGTACTAATTAGTATGTTTGGTTTCAGTTTTTTGAAAATCAAATTTTTTGTTTTTCGTGCTTTTTTTTTTTTTTTGCTTTTAATGAATATTTTTAAAATTTTAAATAATTTTTTTTACTTTTTTAGATGCATCTAAAAAATAAAATATTTGTAAAAAATATTTTAAAAAATCAATAAATACACAAGAATACGAAAACTGTATTAAATTTTCATATTGTTTTTTTGTATGTTTGGTATTTAGCGAAATTTTTAAAGATTTTTTCACAAATATTATACTTTTCAAGTGCATTTATATTAGGTGTATCTAAAAATTAAAAAATTTACTTAAAAAATTTAACCTTGAGTTTCAAAACCAAACAAGCTAATTTAATCTTACTATTTTCTTCTTTGGTAAGAAATAAGAAAATACCAAAAAAAAAAAAAACCGTTCACTGTGTTTGGTTTGAGTTTTCTGGATTAAGTTTTTTGAAAACTGAATTTTTGATTTTCGTGTTTTTTTGTTTTTAGTGAATATATTTAAAATTTTAAACATTTTTTTTACTTTTTTAGATGCAACTTACTTAGATGTGTCTAAAAAGTAAAAAAATTGTGAAAAAATATTTTAAAAAATTAAGAAATACATAAAAATACAAAAAATATACTAAATTCTTGTATTTCTTTTTTTGTATTTTTGGTATTTAGTGAATTTTTAAAAGATTTTTTTTTTACATTTTTTTTACTTTTTAGGTGTATTTATGTTAGGTGTGCCTAAAAAGT